TCAATCATTATTTCGACTAACACTCGAAACGATCTTTAGACCTCCCCGAAGTGTTACCTCAGAAAATTCAAATTATATTTATATTACGAAGTTGCCTTTATTAAACAAAATTTTCGTACAATCAAAAATATATTACCTACTTATGTGCCTATGTATATGAGGACATGTTGAAACGTACACGTAAATATATATATACATATATTCAAAGAGAGAATCTCAATTCAATTGTCGCGTAAAATATTTTATACGAATCTTTTTATTTTATTACTATATATAAGTTAAAACGTAAACGAACATTGTTATTTGCGTCACAATATAAAACGATCCATCTTCGGAACGAAAAATCGAGAATATGATGATTGTAATCAACATATTAAATGTGATTATTAACATTAACTGTTTACATTACATTTTCAGTACCCATTCGACGACGTTTCAGCGTTAACGGGCTCACGGGATTAGTTAATGGTCGTTTTGTAACTTCTGGTAAACCCATTCTGTATTTACGAATCGGTTGCGCCTTGTGAACGATCTGTTTCCTTAATAACGCGATCTGTTTCTCCTCCTCCATCTTCTTAGCGGCCATCTGCTGCTTTTATTTATATCATTGTGGTAAAAGGTTTCTGACTTAATTATTATTATTATTATTATTATTATTAATATACCAATATATTAATATTATATAATAATAATAACTTATATATTAACACGTTGAATGCCATAGAGGTCACCGGTGACCCCGACCAAATCAAATTACTGCAATTCACTCAATTAAAGGATGATGTTATATTTTTCCCATTTTGTGTATTTTACTCTATGAAATTATGCGATGTTCAACATGTTAATTAGTACTTAATGATATTGTATCAAATTATACACGTGAAATGCGTTTCGAGACAGCAGTTTCATCTACGTTACCATTCGTTTGCGTTCTTCTCGTTGCATTTCGCGTTCTTTCAATGTCGCATCAAACCGTTTCCTCTGTTCCGCTCGAATCATCGTTTGGAGGGGCGGATCTTTTGGTTTTATCGGATCTTTCCTCCTCAGACACGGCACGAAGGGTTGTTTCTTCCAAGGCTGAATCATTTTACGAGAAGTTTGCGTCTATCGAAGAATCCGGAAAAAAAAGAATCAACTTTCAGTGAGAATCGTTGTATTCGATATTTGATAAATGAACAAAAGAACAATACTGTATCGTTCAAACGGACGTAGAAAAAACGATTAACCATTTTCTAAAACTATTTCTTTCCTAGTACAACTGTAATTTGATATTATTTAATCGTGATACGATAATCAGAAATCATAGATTTAATTATCTTCACGTCTCTTTTAACAATTTTCGTAGAATTTTCTTTTTTCGGTATTCTGAAACTCGTCTGTTATCAAATAGGACAATAAGAAATGCAATAATTGTAATTGTTCGATAACAATCGAGTTTTCTGGTATTTAAGGGCCGAATTCGTTTGGGAGACTTTCCGCTTTTTCTCTTCTTCCGTCGTCTACAAATGATTAACCCATTTGCACCATGTGCATCATTACCACGAAAATTCACTACTCAACATTTTCCAATATTCATTAAAACAAGTTCATCGAAGAAAACTCGCAAACCTTGTATAATTTGTATATCACAAAAAAAAGAAGAGACACATTTTACGAGTGCAATAGTTGTGTGACTATATGCATTGGCCATTTCAAGTACTTTCATACCGTGCAAAACAATTACTTTATTATTAACTTCATTGTGCTAAACAAATTATAAATTCTTTGTTTACGCCACTCTGTGCTTAATTTTCTATACATCGTAAACCATTTTTATTTTGATGCAATACAGACATTTTTGGTAATAAGGACCAATTTTACACTTTTGCATATGATGCAGATGAGTTAACGAATCAACGAGTTGTTTCCACGCTAGCATAAATCGTTTGCGAATACCTTCTTGAGACGTTCTGTCTTATTCTCTTGCTCACGTTTCTCTCGCGGATGTTTTCCTTCGTTACGTACTTCCGGTTTTGTCGTCACCTAAAACGTTTGCCACGATCTTCAACACGTTAACTATAAAAATGTTCGGTAGCATGAATAATTGGATAATAGTGTAATCTAAGAATCTTAATACCAAACAATTAACACATTCGCGAAAATCTTTCGCTTTTCTAATACTCGTTGTTTTTAATTGGTCAGTTGAACAACTGATGATTACTGATCCGGAACAAGAACCAGGTACCTATATAAAGACAGTCTTCCTAGACTTTGTGTCTTTAACCCCCGATGACGCCAGCTGCAACGATGGCGAAACGTTGGGAACAAATTCCAATGGCTCTCACCCGAAAGCTACTTATGAATGTTACAACATTGTTTCATATTCAGTAGAGATATAAAAATAATTGGCGTTACAGGCAGATCACAAAATCGACTGGAGTGCTAAGGGTTAAACGCGAATCAACCTTACGAGCTAAATGATTGCGTACCACTTTGATCACGGTGTCATTGAGCTCGGACACTTCCTCGGTCTCTTCCCTTCCAGTCTTAGCGATATTCTCTTTTCTAGGTGAAACATTATATATCCCGGATAACGAGAAATTTTTCAGGGATCTAAAATCACGCAAGGTAATTACGAAAGATATTCTTCAAGTGGAATTCTATTCGAAATATTCCAAACGTCGCTGTCAAAGCTCACTCGATCATCGTGTTGTCGTCGTATGGGTTCACAGAATCTTCGTATTTGGAATTCGGCTTCGGAGTGCTCACGATCACCCTGGTTTTATCTGAATCCACACGGAAACATTATGCAAAATGTATCATTCCCAACGTTTCAACCCTTTACACTCGACGATACTCCTCGCTACAAATATCCATTAGTTTCTGATGAAAAATCGACCATTTGATTTGATATAGTGAAATTTTAACCAGTTAACTGTGTTCGACGAGTATACACGCCATCGTGAAGCTTGATTCATGTCATTGGTATCATTACCAATTCCTTCAGCGATGAATTCTTTATTTTTTCACATAAACATGTAATTCTTCTTTGTTTCGCTTTGATCTTTCATTAAAATATACTCTACGTGCATCCGTCCTGCGTTCGACGAGTACACGCTCCATTTTTCGATTTTACTGCGCGCAGAACGAGAGGTTTTCCCAACTAAATTCCACAGTTAACTGGTTAAGCTCATATATAATATTAAGCTTTGCGTGCACGCGTATGTGAAATATTGGAATAAAATAGCTTTGTTCCTCGATTTTATGTGAAACGCTGAATATTTCTAATGGAGAATTTCCGAGTGCAAAGGGTTGAAAGATCGATGAATTTTCTTCGAATTCCGCTTACTGAAAAACGAGTCACCCCTCGACGGCAGATCAGAAAAGTCAACGAACTGCGGGGAATCGATCCGATCCCAGGTCTCTTCCTCCGCGATCCTGGGATCGAGAAACTTCTCGTTTTTCAAATTCTTCTTCTGCCACAGTTTCCGCGAGGGCGGTTTCAGGTAATTCTTCGAGTACGTCAACGGCGTGTCGGACGTTTCGCGATTTTTGTTCGTTATCGGTGATAACATTGTTCTTCGCGCTTCTAAATCTTAACCCCTTGCCCAACAATTTGATTTCACAGCTGCACTTGTCAGAGTTATTTATCGCCAATGATGTTTCATTCGAACTGAACCAAAAGAACATTTCGAAAGTCGGCATTGTAAACACCGACACGGATTCACCTATTTGTACCTGTTCCGATGCTAGTGCGGAAATAAACAAAACTTAGCGTATCGATAACGACTCGCTGAAATGACGGTTGCTTGTGGACTGTCAGAATGAACCAGTGGAAATATGCTATTACATTGTAATTGATTTAATTGGAAATTATTTGAAATTCCTAGTCTACAGAGAGATAAGAAATATTTGGAATAAATAAAATATTCCTTTGAATTCAATGATATTTAGTTATACGGTCTACGATATAGGAAATTCGAACTACTTTGTACTTTTTAAATTTATTGTCAGCGATACTTTAATGCTTCGCGGTCTATTATTTAATACAGTTTTGCAAACTAAGGAATTATACTATTTATTATGAAAATAATTTACGTAAAATAAAAAATCTATTATTGTATTAAATTTGTCTAAAATTTAAAGACATGCCGTAAACTTCATTTGCATATTAAATGAACTGCATTAACTATTTTGTACTTTTTAATACTAGAACTACCGTACCCGTTAAAATGGCGGACTTTAGTTTCCTTATTTCACAATTATTGATGTTTTAAAAGTATTCGATATCTGAAATAATTTCGAAAATAAACAGATTCACTAAATGCTATAACAAGTGTCTGAAGAAATCGAAAAAATGTATTATTAGAATCTTTACAAGGATTACATATCAACAATAATAAAATGCTCGGTAGTCCTAGTGTTAAACTTATCGTTAGTGACACTTTAAAATTGTAGCTTATAGAAACGTGAACAGGTAAAATTCTACATTAACTATTTTGTATTATATTTTTCAAATTTATTGTTAGCGGTACTTAAAATTTATAGCTTATGGAAATGTAAATGAGTAATTCCGCATTAACTACTTCGTACTTTTTAAACTTATCTTTATCGATACTTTAAAATTGTAGCTTATAGAAACAGGTAAAATTCTACATTAGCTATTTTACATTTCCTTGTACTTTCGTATTATACTTTTAAAGTTTATTCTTAGCGATACTTAAAAGGTACAAGGCAGTGAGTGCAGAATTACTCGTTTACGTTTCCATAGGCTATAATTTTAAACATATCCTTATCAATACTTTAAAGTTGTAGCTTATAGTAACGTAAACTTATAAGCACGTAATTCTATAGTAATCAGACTTTTATCGACACAAACTACGAAAGGCTGACCGTGATCATCGATATTCGTCTACGGCGTGCGTACATGTGCGAACATTTCTATGGATACACGAGCCCACAACAAAGCCGAGGGCGGACACTGTTGCACCGTTTCGCGAGTCGTCCGAATAGATCTTTCGATATGATCGATGTTCGTCGCAATTGGAGATTGCAGTTCGTTCAGTGCGCGATCAGTCTCGTTCGTGGGAGAAGTTCTTTCAAGAAGCTGAACATCTTAACAGCGACATGACGATCCATCGCGTTGCACCGCAGTGCATAGAACGTGCAGGGAATGTCTCGCAGCGAAGGATGAAATAATGTGTCGCGATTAACGATAATAACTTCGTTCGAACACTAGAAGGAAGCTTTAATCATGCACGGATTACGGTGAGAGATAATAGATTCAAAAATATATTCTTCTCGCAACTAAGTCTAAGTCGTTCTGTGACACAATTAAAATCGTGTGTTTGTTCATTGGATAAAAGCACTTTCGCTTAAATGGGATAAACAGATAACAGTTCGAAATTTGTATTATTAGTTAAAGATACCAACAATTATAGCATACACGTCTAAGAATAGATTTAATGTCTACAAGTGTTGAACACGTTCGTGACATGTAGCGGGTGTAAAGAAAATTCAATTACTTTCACGTGTACTTGTATCTAATATTGAAACGCGTTGTGTAAGTGCTGGAAGTTGCGATTCTTTTCCTGAATTTCTTGCATTTCAAAGAGACAATTTGTTGTATTTGATAAAGTATTGTAACTATGAAGATTGCTGCTGGAACAAACGCTAGTTGTTCCGGTACGCTGGGTGTATAGGAACGTAGCTTAATCGGTAACAGGTGAAACCTGAATGACTTATGTTACAGTTAACCCTTTGAGAGAAACATGTATAAATTCAGACGGGAAGTTATTTTATTTCAATATTCCATATATTGATGCATCGTGCAAAGCTTAATATTGTAAAACTTCATAATTTCGCAAATCAAATCAAGTGATGATTGAGAGTCACCTCTCGAGTGCAAAGGGTTAACGCTAAACCGACACTTTAATTACCGATCACATTTTTGCGAACACATTAATACGGAAGCGATGCACAAAATAATTTTTGGATGACAAGAAAAATTTCTTCATTTGAAATTATAGGTCATTTGAACGAGTGTGGTGTATTTATGGTTCGAATGATTTGTGTTGCGTTAGTACGTAATGGTGTATTTTTTAGGGCTGACCATAACATGGTGGGTCTCAGCACCAATCGATGGTTAGAAGCGCTTTGGGAACCAGGAGCCAAATTGTACACACTGCCAAACGCGCTTGATATGTTGGATGTGACCGGAGATGGAGATGCCAGGCTCATTTGCGCTGATTTGGGTGCGCTGGGTACTGATTCGACAAAGGTGCGCCACGTTTTGTTTGTATATTAGATCATTTTTGCAGTTCTATGTTAAACATTTCATCAATTTTTAATATTTTCGATATTTCTTAACATTAGAACTAGCAGATGGGTCAAAATCACCCATTCCTGAGTTCTTCTTGCAATTATTAGGAAGATAACAGGTGTCTCTTTGAGAAGTTACTGAAAAATTGATTTAGCAATCCCAAATTGAATTGTAAATCAATTAAAGCCTCAATAGATAAATATCTTTTTAACATTTTCAACCCTTTGCACTCGGAAGCTTTTTCTGCCAGACATATTCATCATTTTCTAATGAAATATTAATGGTATATTTCACAACTAACATAAATATATATAAACGAGTAAAGGGATAGAATTGTACTATTTCAACATTTCATTTGCAATTGCATTGTACGAACTTTGCTATCGAACTTTCCAAAAATTAGATACGAGTTTACAAAGGAGGCGACCTGATAACCGAGCACAACATGGTGGACCGGATCTGCGGCGTGGTCGGCCTTTACACCGAGAACGGGGAACCCCGATCGTCGGTGTTAGCTGTCGGCAGTGGTTCCAGCGTTTATATCTTCAAAAATATGAGGGCTTACTTTAAATACTGCCTGCCACACATTGATGTTCACCCGAAAGAGCGGGAGGTTCGAGACATTTATCTTTCTCCTTCAATTGAATCGAATTGAAACCATGAATTCCAAGATAAGACAAGGCCAATTTTTGCCACTATACTTAAATTATTCACATAGCTAAATTCCACAGTTAACTGGTTAATATTCTCCGCAGATCTGGCACAAGGCAGGATTAGAAGAAGAACTGAACGTGCTCACGCTGGCCGACGAGCTAGACTTACTGTTGAAAGAACTTGGCGCGGCATTTATCTCGCCGCGGACGTTGAAGTTTCTTTCCATGGATCCGAGCTTAAGGGCGGGCTTTGCGGAACAGTACAAAGTGATTCCACTCATTAAGAGCAACGCGTTGTCCGCAATTTCCGTCATCCGAAAGGATTCTTGGAGTAATCCGGCCAGCGGTTGCTTGGTGCTTGGCACAGAATTTGGGGAGGTCATCGTTTTAGATCCTCGGTAATCCTCTATTTAGATAAATCATTTGTTTCCCTACCGTGTGAAATAATATTTGATTAACCAGTTAACTACAATTCGACGGGTATACACGTTATCTTAAAACTTGATATGATAATTCTTCATTTTTTCAGATAAACATGTAATTCTTCTTTGTTTTGCTTTGGTTTCTCTATTAAGTCATTGAAATATACCCTAGGCGCATTCGTCCAGCGTTTGACGAGTACGCATTCCATTTGTTGATTTTATTCCTCGCGAAACGAGAGATTTTTCAAACTATATTTTAGGTTAGCACGGTTAACAGGTTAAATCAGTCAAGCGATAAATAGAAATTTTCACGAACCTTCGCTATGAGTTTAATGGTATCTCCCTAGAACGTTCACTGCCATGGACAAGCATTTACTCGAATGGCCCCCAGTGGCATTCGCGTGTATCGGCTTATGGACAGGCGATGGCAAGATATTAATCATCGGTAGGGACGGCAAAATAGGCGCGATAAGAAGGGGATCCCCCGTGAAGCTTTGGGAAAGATTTTCTGCGCCCGCTGTAGCTATATCGGTTCTTAATAACGAGAACGTTGCGGTGACTCTGATGGACGGCACCTTAGTAGGTCTTTCGAAGAAGGTACTGAAAGTAGATCACTAAAATGGTAATATGATATTTCCAATATAGTTTGAAAATGAATATTAACCGTACAGGGCGTTAAACTTTGGAACGTTGACGTTCCTGGGGCGATCTTGGATTCGACGAGTTTGCCGGTACCGCAAAGCGGACTATCGCTGCTCGCCGTGAGTACTGCTGGTTTCGGTATTCGAGTGTACGATGGAAAGCACCATGTAGATACGTTGAAGATCATGGAACCGGTGTCCGCCATGAAGGTAATTTGTTGTTTATGATTTATAATTTATTATTTACTATTTACATTACTTATATGTACAATTCCTACGGTTTTTTGTTAATAATAAATTGAAGTCTGATTTCAATTAGTATTTCACTAGTTTAACGCTATTCCTACTAGGTGTCTTCTGTCACCTTTGGAATTTTTAAATTAAAATTATTTTCCGAGTTTAGTCGTATATTCTGAATCGACTATTCGATATTTTCAGTAACAGAAATGTCCAAAATTCAATTGAGGGCAAGTAATTTAACTGGGAAAATAATATTAAGTAAAGATTTCAGGTGTCCTTTGACACCTTCAGTAGAAATAGTGTTAATGAATGAATATCAGCAGCAAGTTACATTTATACCGTTGCTATAAAATAGAATAAAATTATTACGAAAACGTCCTCTGAGTTTCAATTTTGATCTAACACTAGAATTACCAGACGAGTCAAAACGACCCATTCCTGATTTCTTCTTTTCCAAATGATAACAAATTATTCTCTGAGGAATCACCGAAGAAATTGTTTTCGTAATAGGCGAACAGAAAAGAAATTAGAAAAAGGCAATTCGATCGTTCGGTGATTTTGGTGTTAAGAATCTACAGGAATTTTTGCCCGGTACCAATACATTTGCTTCTCAAGGTTCGTTCAACGTCCCTTTCCTTTTAGTCTATTCATTCCCGCCATTCGTTGCAGTACGGCCGAATGGGCCAAGAAGAGCGAACTATGGCGATGATCACCGTAGGAGGCGGTCTCTGCGTGAAGATCCTGAAGCGGACCGCCGACTTCAGCATCCACGATTCGTCATCGACTTCGCTGACCAACGATGGCACAAAATTCTCGATACCGAAGAAGACTCGGCTGTTCGTCGAGCAAACGATACGGGAACGATCGGAAGCGAAGAAGATCCACAGCACGTTTCAGCAAGGACTCCTCAGATTGCGGTTGATCGTAGCGAAAAAGGCAGTGGAATCGTTGAACGAAAACCAACAAGCTGGCCCGCGTTGTATCACCGTGGAGGCTACTGTTTTAGGATTAGGGCCGAATTATCAAATTCGCATTTTACTGACGAACGTGTCCGACGAGCTCTCCGACACGGGACTGTACATCGTTTGCAGAAGCGAGAATACAGATGTTAGACCGCGAGTCTTGGATGTTCCCTTGTTGCCAAGCGGAATTCCAATCCCCATGGCTTTGAACGCAATCCTGACCAGCAGAATATCCGGACGAGTGCAGATCCTGCTTTGCAAGAAATCGAGGACGAAACCGATCAACGTGACTACAGTGGTTTTGCCAGCTGCCGAAGAGGACATCGAAGTATAATTTTCTATGGAGGTCGAGGAAAGATTTTCTACGATGGATTAGTATAATCCGGCGTGAATAAGATTGTTCTTTAGGAACTTTCAGTTTGAGCAAATGCAAACGATCGAAGATCGCACCCCTTTGGAGTGGTTAAGGTGAATGCACCAATAGTTGACCGGTTAAGAAAAATTTCCTGCGTGAATTATAGCAGCTTGTTCCTTTATTAAATAGGGAGACTATGCGTGAAAATGCTGTTTGAGTTACATTATGTAACAAAGTGAACTCTTTTGAAATAGTTATATTACCCCAATTTTATAGACATTTTTGAAAATTCGATAGTTGCACCAGAAGTTAATCGTTTGAAACGAGAAAGTAATTGACAGTATGTTAGTTAAAAGTTGACCAATTATAGTAAAATCAAAAACACTAAAGGTTGCTTTAATATTGTTTATTTGCAATGACCTTGACAAATTGCAAGTAAGAAAATAAATAGAAATGGAAAGAAGTTAATTCTAAGTTGGTAATTGGAGGCATACAACCAACGTCAATGGAATAAATTGTTAGTTTTTACGATAAACAATTCAATTCAGGTAAAAATGTTTCAGAATTAGGTCAGTAAATGCTGCACTATATCTGCCGCACCTTTCTCGAAAGATAATTACTTCTGAAAACTTTATTTTTTATTTTCCTGGCAAATGGTCAACTATTGATAGTGCCAATTACTGGTGCCTTTACCTTATCTTGGGGATGAATATGCGTACGAGACTTATTCCGAATCTTTTATATACTGAACTTGGAGAATTTGTCGAGGGACCGAATTCATGTATTTTTCCAGTTTTATCTCGCTAATGATTAAGTGACGCAGTGTAATATTAGGTAAATTGTGTATTTGTGCGGCGAGTAGCATTCGGTCGGTTTTATCTCGTTTTATCGCGGTCAGTTACTGGTGAGAATGCCCGTATATGTAACATTCTATTTATAGAGAACTCGTTTTGTAATTAAATCCTATAAAATTTCATCTTGATACTTGTTCATGTTTTGTATGTGATTAAATGTTTGGCAAATAAGAATATAAGGTATTCAAGTTATAATTGATGGGAGTCTAGATTTCATTCTTATTGTTTACCGTTAATGTTTCTTTAATGTTATTTATTATAAGAAATTTATTGTAACGCGTAGACTGTTGGTTATTTGTTAATAGATCTTAGTGAAATCTTTTAATTAATTCAGCCCCGTTATTCCAGGAAACAGTCGGTAAAATCACCCTCCCGTCTACCCACCCTCCTTCTGTTATTCATATATTGTTCGCTACAGCTGATCGAAAGGAACCCACATAAAGTGGTAGGCCAAACACGCAAACATTCCAGTCTAGTGTAGTTATTTCGTCGTGTACACAGGATGTACGATCAGCATAGTAACAGAAGGAGAATCGATAATTAATAGGAAGTGAATGGAGCACGCCCGATCGATAGTAGTTTTAATTTTTCTGTGATGTCGAAAAAAATTGTCATGCTTCCGATATGTTATTTTCCGAGGCGATATCTTATGATTCTCCAGCTCCACGTTTTGTTGCTATTACTACTTTTCCCAGGTAAATTTTTTGATAAACTATTTTGTAATATATTTTCTTATTCGTGACATTATTACTGTCATTATAGCTAATTAATATTAACTGCATTTAATATACTTTACAAATAATATATTCATGAGTATACTTAATGACGAACAAGTGGGTGTTACTGATTTGCATTCGTTTGTCTGCGTTCACAGCCAAAGAATGTACTATGCCAGAAGCAAGTCAAGAGGGACTCCTACATTCATTTAAAAGTTATTCAGATATAGCAATGTTTCATTACACAGTTCCAAAAGAGGTGCTTAGAGCCACCTGGCAGTTCGCCGCATTTATGGATAGGCAAGATTGTCCAGAAAGAAATGTTCATATGTAAATAACTTTCAACTTTACCTTTTTTTTTTCTAGAAAATACAAAGCATAATATGATAATGTAATGTACAGATATCTACAATGGGGCAGTTATCCTGTGATATCTGTAAATAATGATACATTCCCTAATGATATGTATCCCGAGCGTAATCAAACTATTGTAGTCTCTGCAGTCACAACATTTGAACCAAGAAATACTGCGATTGTGCCAGTTTACGGACCAGAGTCTGGAGATTGGTACGTGGGGGCTTATTTGTCTCATTGGGATGAGAAAGTTCAACAACAGGTACAACTGTGTTCTATAGTATGAATGATTTCTTTCAAATAAAGAACATGTTTTCTCAATGTTTTTTTCTTTTTATTCTAGGGACTTGGACACAAATGCCATTACAGCATAGGTTCTGTAGCTATATGGACACAAACTAATAGTATGGAAAACATACCTATTGGCTGTCAGCATACATTAAGAACAAGAGAAACTACTTCTTATTACAAGTAAAGAATCTGAATATCATATCATTTTCATTATGTTTATACTGAAAATTAATGTATTCAATTTTTCCATAGAATATACATACCATCAGGAACATGGAATTTTAAACTTCACATTTGGGGGTGTAATTTTACTGTGTACACATCTCGTAACATACATGAACCTTGCATTCAAAGTATGGCCTTACAAGGACGCTCATTACCTGTTTTTAACCACTCTGAACCTAGTGAAATTGGAAACTTTACTATGTTAGATTCCTATACTTTCACAGAGTCTTCTCCTTATGAGGATAGCTATTATTATTTAATGATTATTTCAGATAGTATCATTGAAGTGAACGTTAAAGTAATCGCCTCAGGTAAAGTACATGTATCATAATATTTTTCTTAGATTTGTATTAACTCATAAATAATATTTTCCTACCCTATTCAGAATGTCCAATCAGAATAACAGAAAAGTCTTTTGTAAGGCAGTATTTAGATGCACCTTCATTTTCTCAAGCACTAGCTCAATTACATATGAAAGACTTAACAAAACATCATACTCATCATGGCGAAGACAAAAGTAATAATGTATCGTTGTATAATGAAATTGATTTTAGAAATCAATTTCATGTGTCAGAAGAAAGTTTTAATGATCCGTGTGTTCCAAGATATCAACTTGCTAGGATTAAGCATTTGCAAACATTTTCTGGTGTTTACTTATTACAGGTATTAAATGTTTAACGGTTTTGACAGAATAAATTTTAGAATATTTTATTTAATAAACTTTTTCAGGGTAAAGAATGGTTAACTTCTTGGGTGATGTTAACAGATGACCACCCAGTAATAACGCAATTCAATATATTGCCATTAATCGATATTGGGGGTACACTTGATATTAGTGTACATTTAGAAATGGATAAAGTAAGCATAATTAATAATATTAAGATATGGATGGGTCATTTAATTGAATTGCAATTATTTCTTACATGTATTTTAGGTAGTAACAAAACAGCTAGTCAGAGTTATACTTTGTATACGGCGCGGTCGAGTTCCAAATAGAGCTAAGGGTAATATTATATGCGAGGATTCAAGAATGTTAATGAATTTATCATCATTCGACAAACATGATTCAAGTTTATTAATACCATATCCACAGCCAGATGTTTGGTATGTTGCTTTACAAGCAACATGTTATTTTAATGGGTAAGATTGTGTTTTTAGAAATAGGAAAGGATTGTAATATTAACTCCGTTTATTTATCTAAAGTGGTATTATCTATAAATTAGACGCCCCGTAAATTGTGAAATGGAAGAAATTTTAGTATCGTTGGATATACGAACTAGACAATGTGTATTTCCCGGAAATTATCCATGTGGTCATCACGGAATTTGTCAAGAAATTCACAGAGATATTCTTTATTATACAACGTGCAAATGTTTTGAAGGTCTGATTATTCTTTATGCGAGAAAAGTTCTGTTTAGCTTTTTCATAAATGTTAATTCTAAATTTTATCATTTAGGATACAAGGGATGGGGCTGTACCGATGCGACTAGTGCGAATCCAGAGTCTTCTCTTCTCATGACAACACTGATGCTCACTTTAAGTAATGGTTTTTTCATACCTGCAATATATTTAGCTGTTAAGCGTGGATTATATGCGGAAGGATTAGTCTATATGGCAACTATGCTTTTTTCATCTCTGTACCATGCTTGTGATCAACATGTAATGACATATTGCGTAGCTAAATATGAAGTACGTAAATGACTCTATTTTATAATAATCGTTATGTTAATTATTTTCTAAATTCTCATATAAAATATGTTTACGAAACAATTTTACTTACAGGTTCTGCAATATAGTGACTTCTTTTCAAGTATATTAGCATTTTGGGTAACCCTTGTTGCGATGGCTGAAATTCCAACTCATTTTGTGTCATTGTGCCATATGTTTGGGGTTCTTATAATAGCTTTTGGGGTGGAATCTAATAAAACATGCCTAACTAGTATATTAGTACCGTTAGGAATGGGTGTTATGATTCCGGTAAGTAATTTGATATGCTTGTTCAGAAGATCATCAGTTTTTATTTACATATTTCTAGATGGGATCATATGTTTATCGTTGTTATAAGTTGAAGAAGTGGAAAAAGCCTGACAGAATTTCAAAGTTATTAGCAGGATTGCTATTGGCAACAATAGGTTTGCTGCTATTTTCTTTAGTTGAAACAGAGGCTAATTATCAAGTACGTAGAATAGTACTTAATTATTGCATAATTTCTATTATATGATAAAGATACAAAATACAACAGAAATTATTCAATAACCTACTACGTATTACCGAAGAAAATGAAAAGTAAAATATTGTCCTATTATTTCAGTATGTTCATAGTGCGTGGCATATGATAATAGCAATTTCATTGGTATTTTTGTTACCGCCATCGCCAACGGAACTAACTACTTCTTCAGGCACCAGCTCCTTCAGCGACGATAGCGAATTACTTGATTATAAAGACGTACACGGGAGTCCAGTTTTTACGGTGACTTCTGGCCAAGAAAATTTGGTTATTGCGTCGCACTGAAAATTCCGTTAAGATAAGTAGGGCAAAGAAACCAAATACGTACCATTGTTTAAGTTACTTGTGCCAAAAGAGTGTTCTAATTCTCTAAGCAAGAAGGTAGGTTTACAGTATTACGATAATCAAAATTAGAAGATGTGTATGCAAGTGCACATACTATCTATATGTACATAAAACATGCATTTATGTATAACTTTTATAGTAGTTCCTAAGTCAATACAAATATGTGGTTATAGGGTAATCTATGTGGAGATTTTCAACTCAATGCAATTCAACAGACATACGAAGATATTTAATACTAGTTATAAGCACTGAATCAACTTAACAATGGTGCTACTATTCTTACTATGTTACGTTTAGACTATACTCAACAATACTAACAGATCTATTTTTATATATTTTTTTATTGTTGAAAACTATATTTTATTATATTAAACAAATGATTGAGAAGTGAACGAGACTAATTTCTCCTGAAAAGTCGAATCACTTAATAATAGCAGTTAAGTTTATTATTAACTATGAAGTTTCCAGATTTTCTTTCTAAGCGTTTTTTAAAAGGAGAGTATGTAACTATTTACAACTGTACAGAGATATAAGCATGTCCTACGTCTTTCCATATATTTTTATGGTACTTAATTTACAGCAAAGTATAATACTTATCCTAGTTTACAAAGTGTTGTAATGAATAATATTCATTTGTACATGAACATAGTACTTCATTATGCACTTGTAAACAACTGTATTGTATACTTCATTATATATTCCATGTTTCCAGTAGTGCTAAAAAGTATTAAGTTCATAGATTACCCTATGTAACCAACGAATGCATCCAAAAATTATTGTTAATTGTATTTTACTTCTTACTTTTTTTTCTACAAAGTCATCTTACATACGATAACGTGAATGTTCTGTATAATTACTATAACTTTGGGAAGTACATGGTACATATGACGTTTATTTCACCGAAGTAGAGAGTCATGTAATGTGTGCAATATTGTTGCGTCTATTTTACGAATCATGATCAGAGTTGCGTGAGGGACCACAGTAAGTAAAAGCTACTAATAGCATGTTAGAAAATGAAAGTATGAATGCTGTGCCTAAAAACAGATACATTATTCAACTGAAGTTTCTGAAACCTAATGATTTAACATTTTGAGGTACTCTAAGTTTTGATATGTAAACTCTGTTAGTAGAAATGTAACACAAAATACAAAAATTTATACTATTAGTAATTACTAATTTTATATTGCTTTTAATAATTACTTTCTATGGAACACTATACATTTCAAATCAGCTAAATATGCATATAGTTCGTAAGTAATTTAGGATTGCCATAGGCTTTATGTAAACATTAATTTAATATTAAACATTCCCAAAGTTAATTAGTTTTAATACAGAAGATGCACTAATGTTCGCTAAAATTAATTTGCAAATTTTAACTTCCGTAGAAGTGCGTGATATTTATCGCAATATTTTAGTCATAAGGTGTTTCAGTTTATAATCATAATTTGATAGATCGTAATTTATATATATATAAATATATATATTATTGTTGACACTTCAAATTATTATACTGATTTAGATGAAATCAATTTTATATAACAAATTACAGAAGTATAGTATCTATTTTAGTTACTATTCAAATACCTCACAATGTTTAAAGTGCCATCTAAGATGTCTCTCTCATCCTGGGCAGATGATATTATAAATTTTATTTTTACACTATTAAGAAAAGGCAGGACGACCGAAAAGAAGGAATTCATATGATACAAATATTTAAAAGATTTATGTATGCTACATCAATTAAGATTTTAAACAGAAATGTGTAGAGTGATACGAGTAACATAATGGAGTGTATAATAACGATACATAATTGTATTATAAGATGATACAGTCACAAATTCAAAATATGTAAAGATCCTATAAATTTTCGTACTAAAGAAAATATTGAACAAAAAATCAATGAGTAACATTATGCGTTATTTTAAATAAATTAGTATATCTTTTAACGATCTACTACAAATTTTGTCTATACTAAAAAAGAAATGCGACATAACAAATGAAAAAGAGTGTTGTAAACATAGTACCCCGTCCAAATTTAAAACAATATAATTTTTTTATTAATGCAATGGCAAGAACT